AGAAGGGGCTAAACCATTTAAAATTTTATATACCATACACAAATTTGAGAAAAGTCTAAAATTATCAAAAGCTCAAAAAATTGTATTTCTCCAAAACCCTACAGTGGTGGTATTGGTTAGGCTTTTTGTCTAGAGCTTTTAAGGTCTGTTTATGAAACGATTTTAAAGGTTTAATAACAGTTTCCCCTGCTTGACCCCAACATGTCAGACAGTATGTCAGATGAGAAAAGATTGTAGCATGCATAAAAGTCTTGGCTACATCAGTGGGTAGACATTGTCTAATTTGTCTAAAATTGATCAAGTTATATTTTATAGTCCTCACCAATTTCTTTACATATTTTTTAAAACTAAGATTTGGATCCATCGTTAAACCAAGATAATTAAACTCAGTAACAATTTCCTTTGTCAAGTTTAGATTTTATTTGCTCTGTTAAATGTAAAGTAGCTGTTTCAGTAGAATGATTTACTCTGAAACCAAATTGCATACAGTGTAAACCAACCTGAGCTTTATTAAGATAAGATGTCAATTGTTCAAGAACTACCTTTTCTGCAACCTTTGAGACTACTGGCAATATGCTGATTGGTCTATAGTTGCTTACTTTTAACAGCAACTATTTTATTTTTTTGTGGCAGGGCCAGTAAAAATGTTGACGCACTGGCCCAATCGGGCCAGAAGAAAAAATCCTTAGCATTGAGCCCTGTTTAACATCCATTATTGTGGCGGTAACAAACCTTAATGGAGTGCCTTTCGAATGTCTGTGTCATTAAATCGGATGTTACTCTAATAGCTAGCTATATAAATTAGTAGTACACTAGAGTGTAGCGCTGCAGAAACGAGCACAAAGACGCGCACAATGCTGGAAACACTACATCAGGACAAAAGTGTCTCATTACAGCTCGCGCTGAGACTAAACAAAGAACAGACGGCAAATTAAAACCAGTCTACAGACGCACACCTCAACCTGCAAAACACAGCAGTCACTCTTGCCAACTTGAACTTGTTTAAATAAACAATATTATATACTGTATTGCAATTATATTATATTATTAAATTATAGTAAAGTAACATAACATAAAGTAACATATTTTGTTAATTCATATCTTAATACAAAATGTAAAAATAACATTTAATAAAATTCCATTGATACAATGTACATTATATTTGTTTATTTAATCATGTATATTGTAACTATATAAATAAATAATAAAATATATTTATATACATAAATATATTTCATAAATATATTTTAAATATTTTATAAATATAAGCAACTAAAATGTTGCATTGTTTATTCATTAATTGTTTTTAATAAATATTTTATTATTTACAATTGTAAAAATTATATATTATTGTATACATTGCAATTATATTATTGTATAAATATTTATTCATAAATATATACTACATAAATATATTTAACTTATTTATACATTAATACAAATAAAATGCACATTTTGTCAATGGTATTTTGAAAGAAATTACCGAATTAACAATATATAATAAAATGTATTAATAAAAATATTTCATACATATTTTAAACATTTTCTTAATATTTATAATTTCATAAATTATAAAATTACATATGTATAAATATATTTTATTTTTGTTTATAAATGAATAAACAAAATTCACATTATGTCAGTAGTATTTTTATAAAAAATAAATGTTTCCAAATTTGTTTCATGCATTTTTTTTCTTATGTATTACAGAATTAATATTAATTACTACATTATGAACAATGTTTACATTAATATATACAATATTAATAATATTAACTTGTTTGCAAGGTACAACACACTTTTTGCGAGAATTGTTTTAAATTCATTTGGCAAAGGAATTGCCTATTTTTTCCGAATATTTCTTCCTCACCATTACTAAAATAATTTTAATTGAACCATTAAGAAACAAGAATAATTAAGAATTTAAATCAGATTTCAGACTGAAAAAGCAACAACAACAAAAAAATATTATAATGCAGCATAAAGTATACATTCAGAACAACATCCGTAACCAATAACTTTTCATTTGTTTTCACAAAATACACTTACCGTGTTCACAACTTCGCAATTTCGTAATATCGCCCTTTTGTAACACTATCTGCAAAACTTTTCATGTTGAGGTCAAAGCAGCATGTGACACTCATGTTGAAGCTGCGTTGAAGCCCAATCGTGAATCATGTGGAAAAGCCTTACATTATCCAGCAAGCATTTGAGTTGGGATCAGCTCTGGCGACGGGCATTTGACGTTGACTCACCTTGGCAGGATTTGCCGGCCTGGCAATGCGTCATGTGGTTGAGGACGTTCTTCATTGTCTTGCAGTGGGGCAGTGCACAGGCTCGCACCTCGCCGTTGGCCTGCTCGCGCCGCTGGCACTTGTGGGCGTGGAGCAGCAGAACCAGCTGCTGCTGGATCAGCTTGCGCTTCTCCGGGTCGGCTGTGGGGCCCGCGGACACGCCCTGACCTGCCACCATCCCCTCCGACACCTGCTGCTGCTGCTGGGGCTGCGGGCGAGAGAACCAGAATGAACTTTCGCCTGCAAGCTTAATCCAGTTAGTGTGCGTGATGGGAGACTCACCATGTTTGGCACGCTGGTGACCATCGCTCCCTTTAGGTCAGTTGGAAACTGGGGCAGGCTGTTGGGAAGGGCGCCTTTATTCTGAGCGTTCACACCAGCCGTGCCCATTTGTTGCCCTCCACCCTGGTACTGACCGAATGGACTGTTGCCTCCTGCCATGCCCATCTACAAACCCAAGAAAACGGGAAATATCATGTCAGACGAGTCATCAGAAGATTCAGACACAGAATCTCACATCTAAAATTACACCTGGTAAACAACACAACAGCCCAACAAGATTTTTTAGGATCATTGTTATTGTAGCATAGGACAAATTAGCATTGTTCAGTGAATTTTCAAGGGTGAAATCCAGACATCTGAATAGGAATCCATATAATTGGGAATTTTGCGTGAGGGCGAAAGATTTCCCCATGTAAATTTTGTAAGTTGGTCATGTGAATTCACCACGTTGAGCAACAGAAAGCTGCTTGGTTTGACAGTGACTTCTGTGTGAGCTGTGCTTCATACATCACTGCACTACTGACTACAGACAATAGACTTTGTCAAAGTTTTGCTAATGAGACTGCACATTAACAAAAAAATTTAACAAAAAAATATATCAATATGTATTGATAGTAATGCATAATATACAGGGGTAACATTTGTGGTTTCAGGCCATTTTAGATTTTAAAAAAATTTGTTTGATGATCTGAAACATTAAAGTGTGACAAACATGCAACAAAATAAGAAATCAGGAAGGGGGGCCAACACTTTTTCACATCACTGTGTATATATATATATATTATTTTAACGTATCAGTCAAATGTTAAGTGTTAATTTCTCCTTTTTTACATTTAGATTACACTAATAATTTAATAACAGTTAAATATAATCTTTAGTACAGTATATCTCAAAATGAATATCCTAATTGATAACGAAAACATAAATCATTGAGATACTATTAAAGACTGAATTAATATTGACATTTTTTTATATTTTCAATAAAAAAGTTTTTTGTAATTTTGTCCGTTTTATTCGTTTTTTTTTGTCTTTGTGTTTCTATGTAGTTTTTCCTATTTTTATTTCAGTTTTAGTTTAGTACATCAAGCTAAACTAAATCAAAAATAAGAAATGCTGCCTTGTCAACTAGCTAAAATAAAACAGTATAAAATATTATTTCATTTATATTAAAGGGGTCATATGATGCGATTTCATTTTTTCCTTTCTCTTTAGAGTGTTACAAGCTCTTGGTGCATAAAGAAGATCTGTAAAGTTGCAAAGACTAAAGTCTCAAATCCAAAGAGATATTCTTTATAAAAGTTAAGAGTTGTTTTGTAAAAATCGACGCGTTTCAAAAAGGCGGGGCAGGAAGGAGAAACAATAATGTACAGTATGTGGAAAATAATGTGTTTTTTTAACTTTAAACCGCATAAACACATTTCATTACACCAAATACACAAAATAATGTTCTTTTTAGCAGCATCATATGACCCCTTTAACATTTATTTCAACTGACAAAAATGTTTTTGTTTTTAGTTAACTATAATAACCCAGCAACAATTAATTTTATTCAGTGATGCTACTAAAAATCATCATAAAACACATTTCTAACAACAACAACAAAATATTTACATCATTTTACTGTTATATTCATATAACATGAGCATTTGCATTATGAAAATCATCCTGGCTTAGGGGTCGGTCACACTACACTTTTCATTCCTTTGAATTCCATTCATATGTGTACGAATGCGGGAGAGTGGAAATGCTAGTGTGAAGAAGTTTCGCATTTCACTGCATTCCAAAGTTCAAGTTTGGTAAACTCTGACCTGCAACTTCGTACCACGTGAAACCGTGTGACCAACTGAAGAACTACGCGTCACATGATCACATCATGAGCACGTATCTGATTTAAAAGAACATAAATTTAGAACTGCAGAGTTGCAGGAAAGTGTAGTAGACTGTATGTTTTTACATTTTGGATTTATTACTATTTGTTATGTGTTGAATTAGGGCTGGACGATATGGCCAATATTGATATCACGATATAATTCCGATATCGATATGAACACTATTTATCTGAAGGGGTCTGAATACTTTCCGTACCCACTGTATATCGAAATATCGGAAATGTGTTTAAAAATCATATCACCGTTATTGAAAAAAATTATATCGCGATACATATTGATATTGAATTATTGTCCAGCCCTATGTTGAATTGGAGTTTTTAAAAAAATGCTGCAGAGTGTGACGTCACATCACGACCACTGCAGTGTTCGAAGAAATTTTGTATGCTCTAGCGTGACCGCGGCGTCACAGTAAACGGCCAATTAAATGCCACTCTCATACATGTCAATCAAACAAAACAATAATTTTGATCTAACTTATATTTGTTGTTTAATAAATCAAGTGGAGCCGCTCAATATAAACAGCCCCCCCCCCTCCTCCAGCAGCGTGCCGGCCATCCGCTCTCCTCTGTTGATATCGCTCCAGCAGACCAGATAAAAGAGGCCAGTTGAGTGACACACGCACCGGCCGCCCCTCCTGCACCCCTCCCTCCCTCCGCTCTGCTCACTCATTCATGCACACCAACACACTTCTCACGCTACTCTCTGTGCATACTCATCCGCACACACACACACACACACACACATTATCTCTCTGTCGGCGCAGCCAGGATTCACTCTCCCTGCAGATCTGCATCGTGCCCAGGATTTCCTCACTCGTGTCCTCTGCTCTGTTTCACACCGACAGTCACTTATTCACCCTCATGTCTGTCTAAACTCACATGTTGTTTATTTGACAGTGGACCAATGAAGAAATTTTGTGATGAAAGTAGAGACTTTTATTTAGTATTGTGACGCATGTCTGAGTGTAACATAATCAGAAAAGAAAACATGTACGGCGAGACTTGTTGATTGGATGGAGGCAGATCTGAACGAGAGCTTGCAGTCGATTGTAAGAAAGAAGCATGATTTAAGTGGACGAAATGATTGGAGAAGTCTGGCAAAAGTACGGCATATTTTGATTAAAAATTTAAAAATTAAAAAACCTGCACAAATAAATTGTTCCCAATAAGACCAATAACATGCATTTAGAAAATAGTTAGGGTGAATTTTTATTTCATGCTGACTTTAAAAACTAAAGGCCTGTTCACACCAAGGACAATAACTATTATGATAAAGTTTTAATAATTGTTTTAATTAGAGAAGCACCGATTGCAATTTTCTTGGCCGATTCCGATTTCCGATTTTTTGTTAGTGTGATCTGCCGATACCGATTTTTGCAGATTCCGATTTTCTTTCTAAGAACTATAATTGACAGCATATACAAACAAAAATCTACTTTTCTTCAACGCAAAGTTTTATTTTCATAAAAAAAACACAAGTAAAAAGTCAGTAATAAAATAAGAACAAATAAAAAAAATTGCAAACAACAGCACAAATAAATGCAATAGAATAAAGAGAGCTATCACTGTCTACACCTAGGATGCTTCGAGGGTGAGTAAAACACAAGCTAATTTTCATTTTTGGGTAATTTTAAACTAACCCTTTAATGCACTTATAAAAATAACAGAAGCAGTCAAATGTCAAAAGTTTAATCAAGAAGTAGTATTCAAAATGTATAATTTAACATCTCTAAAGGATTGGGGAAAAATATGTTCAAATACTCAAATGTAAAAAATTTTTTTTACATGAACACAAACTTTTTTCTTCTTTTTTCCAAGCATTCCATTTAATTTTCCACAAATTGTCTTGCATTTATTTATTTCTGGACTCCTTTTTAATGGTTAAATTAAATTTTAGTAATCAAAAGGCATGTCTAATTAACTGAAATCATGAAACTTATATAATCTACTAACAATTTATTAAAAGTTTTATAAAAATTACATTTTTAGGGCCCTATGAAATAAGTTCAAAAAGCATGTGTTATCAATTGAAAGTTGAAACTCTATTTATTTTTATATAATAATAACTATTTTTGGAATCAGCACCTGAAAATTAGTAAGAAACTAGTATTGGATTTCATTCAGCAACTGTGATGCAGGGGGGTGTAATGATTAATTTTTAAGAAATGCAAAATTCAAGCATTTTTCAGCACTAACCCCTATAAATTACTAGGGATTTGAATTCGTAATACAAATGCACACACCTGCCATTTCTGACATTCAAGTGCTGCTTTCAGACCCCATCAGTCAGTAACCCATCTATCATAGAGACGCTTTTTGTTCATCAAATTTGCATAGAGCACAGATGAGATGTGTATGCATGTAACATGCCACTTTACACTGAGAGCTTTTCATTTGCCTTCCCATCAAGCATAATTCTGCGGCTGGCTGGCGTTATAGCAGGACTTCAAACAAAATGGCAGAGTTTAAGAGCGTTCTGGCATGCAACTGCTCTCGTAATGCAAGCATTTAAGCCTAATAAAAAACACAAGTGCAGGAATGACTCATGTAATCAAACAATGAGGCAGCACAGCGCGGCTCCAGATAGAGAGTGATAATGTGAGTCCGTCTGCTGCTACACTGACAGATCAAACTGGACGCACGGCCTGATTTACACACCGATCGGATTCCACCGCAATACTGGAGCGTTACAAAAGATATGAAACATATTTCACAAAACACCACTGTCATAACTTAATACAGAGCCACTTGATGGTATACGTGTGAATTTAAATGTAGGGATGCACCAATAATAAAATGATTGCCGATACCAAAAAGCCAATATTAAAATGGCTGAATTCAATGGTGAATCTCAATTGCAAAAAGTGTCCTCATTTACTTGAATTCACCCTACTATTTTGTGAAAGTAAAATAAAAAAATAAAATATCACAAAAAAAAAACAATTGCTGTAGAGGCTAAAAGTGATTATCGTCATCACAACATGATAATGTACAATACGAAAACAGTATTTGCAAAGATTTCACTTAACAATGTTAATTATTACTGTTGTTAATGTTATTTTTCCGTTAAATGAGCGTTAGATGATGACAACGGTAAATCTACATGTAAAAAAAAAAAGAGGAAATGAGACACACATTTCAGTGTTATTTTATTATTTTTATACACCATTATAGAATTAATATTTTGAATTAGTTTTTATTTTTATATTTTCAGTTTTCATTTTAATTTTAGTAATTTTGTTGTGTTAGTTATGTTGTTTTTTTATTTCTATTTAGCTTTATTTTAGTTTTTAGTAATTTTAGTACATCAACTCATGTTATTTTAGTTAGTTGCCAAGGCCAAATTTTCGTTAAAGTTAAGTTTACATTTTTCATTTAATATTTTATTTAACCTTTATTTCAATTAGCGAAAACAATTGAACAGTTTTAGATAATAACAACAACACTGGCACAATTAGATGAAAAAATAAAACAAAAACATCAGTTAGTAACTGAAATGATAAAAATCAGAATATTGCAAAAAATATTCGCAAAGGGAACAAAACAGGGAACAAAATCGTTACTTCTGGGTAAAACAGAAATCGAAATTGTAGCCACTGATCAAGCCACCACCGCTATTTTAATAAATATATTAAATTATTTGCGGTTTATAACGTGCAAACAAAACGCTACACTAGCGATTAGGGATGCACCAATCCGATATTCATATCGGGTATCGGCTCCGATACTGCCATTTTTTGTCGAATCGGGTATCGGTCACACGTAGAAACCGTATCCCTTTAATGTGAGCTACATATGAATATTTAAGTCCTTACAATAAAGTTCACACAAACTCTTTTCTCCGTTGTGGCATTCAGTCATTCGTTCAGCCTTTAAACCCTGGTCACGTTTGGTTACGACAGTCAGCTCGGTAAAGCTCTCGCCAAGATCATTCTGTGTTCCCATTATTATACTTGATTTGTAAATAAATGTCTATGATTTTGC